CTCAAACTGTTTCAGGGCGGTATCGCGTCGGGCGGTGGGCTCTGCTGTAGCTTCTGCTCCCCGCTGTAGCTCCACAACGAGAGACTCCCACAGGATGACCAGGGTAGCGGCTTGAAGCTACGGGCTAGCCCTTCAATTCAAGCTACACAGCAAGCTCCACCTCTCAGTGGTAGTCCGGCTACAGCGTATCGCGCAATCTCGCTCTCAATCAGATGCTACGCTCTCAATCAGGCGAATATGTTGTTGTCATCAGGAGGCAATGATGAAAAAAGGTTCTCCCGTGCCCTTCGCACATTTTACGACATGAAATTACACAACATATATGAGACACACAAGACAGCTACCAAACTGATTTTCTGAGCCTGTCACCCGCAGGGGAGTTGTCCCTATAGGCTGTCTAGGAAATCGTAGACATACAGGTAGTTTTCTCTGACGCTATAATTCCATTGATAATCTGTCTCTGACTCTTTTTTATGATTGAGATGGACTCGTTGTGTCATATATATTTATTTATTTTTATTTTTGCCTTCCGACAATTAATTGCAGATGTACCTCAGAAAACTTTCACTTAATGTCTCATACTCTACATGAATATAAAACCAATACGAAGTACAACAACATATGTAGGACTTATTTCTACTGTCATTTACATCGTAAAAATATCTCCTCTTCAACTTGAAATAAAACCAATGGCAATCCTGATGGTATCCTATATGCGTTCGTAAGCTTGCTAAAATACTACTGCGTTGATGTCCGCTTGTCAAAGCTGAAATCCAACAAATGTTTTGATCCATGCTACATCTCCGTGTTGGAAAAGCCCTTTCATCTCCGTTCATGATAACATCTTACTTACCCTATTCTACGCAAATCTGTCACATCTACTCTCAAACAAGACGCCAACTTCAAACGAAAACGCGTTCTACGATGCGTCTACACTCACTCATATTATTGTGTCACATTATTTTTTTATATATAAACGGTGACACCACTCCCGTGTGCCCGCACATCAGCCGCACATACTCCGCACATATGCATACTAAACTGAAAATACGTATTTAAACTGATGGAGACTGTATGTCCTACAACTAACAGGGTGCCACACACAAAACGCCCGACTAACCAACAGTACCCAACCCCTCTCGTCTGCACCTTCCCAACATAACATAGAGACACACAAGACAGCTACGAAACTGATTTGTTGAGCCTGTTACCCGCAGGGGAGATGTCCCTATATGCTGTCTGGGAAATCGTAGACATACAGATAGTTTTCTCTGACGCTATGATTCCATTGTTAATCTGTCTATGACTCTTTTCTATGATAGAGATGGACTCGTGTCATATTAAGAAAAATAATAATAATAAAATATAAACATCAGCCGACGTTTCTTTCTCTCCCATCGGGGGTCCCCAGGCAACCATAAAGCCAACCACTGTTGCGCGATTAGAAACGGCTCGTCTCTCGACACCGAGGTCGACCAGGCACAGTTGTCTACTATCCTGCAGTAAGCCCGAATGTGTCAAAAGGGCTTTTTTCGGGTGCCAAGCCATGCTGGCTTGGAGTGGTTGAGTTCGTGTGTCCGCCGATTTGGGTCGGCCTTAGACTTGGACGGACTCGGGGTTGTTTAAGGGACGACTGTAACGGCAGACAAAAGGAAAACCTGGGAATAAAAAATGAGCCTAGGGAGTGTTATCATCGAAAGCAAAAGGGACGTACATTTACATTTACACCTACGACGTCGAACATGTACCATGCTTTCCAGGTCGCAAGAGGCCTGAGAAGTAGGATTGGGCTGGGCGTATTGATTCTTTGGGGTTGGGCGCGAATGAGCCTTTGCGTGTGCTGTATGGTTTTCGCTGTTTCGGGCGATTGGAATGTCGCAACCAGGCAATGGCCAACGGTGGGGACATACCGATGGCTAGTAGACTGGAGAGAATGCATATAAAACTCAGCATTTCGAAAATGAACCAAAGCTGTTCGTACCTAGCATATTTCTTGCCTGTTTTTACGTACGACGNCCCCTTCACTACAACCCATGTCTAAGCAAAAGCTTGTCGAGGAGCGAGGGGAAGAAGGAAGAGTGTAGTAGTGGAATTGATTGCCGCAGGGTGAAAGGATCAACAGCGTTTGTTTATACAGTAGCGGCTACGGTTTAAGAGAACTTATTTAAGAGAAAGTACGGATTTATGAGAGACGAATTGGCTTGTACCAATCAAAATCGATTTAAGAGAAATTTCCTATTGCAGCTGGGATTTTCCTCTTAAGTCGAACAATATGGAAACCACGTGGACACACACACACATCACACACCCACACAGCTGCAGACACCATGCCCTGCGCGGCGGGCAGTCGCTGCACTGCTGTCCCCGATCACACTCNATTGGCTTGTACCAATCAAAATCGATTTAAGAGAAATTTCCTATTGCAGCTGGGATTTTCCTCTTAAGTCGAACAATATGGAAACCACGTGGACACACACACACATCACACACCCACACAGCTGCAGACACCATGCCCTGCGCGGCGGGCAGTCGCTGCACGGCTGTCCCCGATCACACGTCAGGCCCGCCGGCGTTCACAAATCACCAATGTAGAGGAGTCTGCGGGCAGTACCTCCATGGCACCTGTGGTGTGGTGGACCCTCAGGGCACCTCCGAGATGCATCGCATCTGCCACAACTGCCTGTCCTCCCGTGGGTTTCTTGGGTTTGTGGTATTTGTACGGCGAGTGATGTTTTGATATTGTGAAGCTCTTTTTTTTTCGTTGACTTGTGTTTTTGTCGGGGGTTTAAATCGATGGGATGAGGGGTATGAGGGTGTTATGTTGAGGGTACGGTGGGAGGAAGGGGTGCATTATTGTGTAAACGGGTGCGTCGTTCTTGAGTGCTGGTGCATTCGTTACCTCGTGTTGTCCTTCTAGAAGAGGTGCGACTATGAAACACAGCTAAAAACAACTCAACCAAAAACCTTTCACGTGTCCACGTGCAAAATGTGCATCGCATCACACAACGATGATTTATTTTCCGAACGTAGATCCACAAAAAGCGTACCACGTACAGCAGTACTTGGGTCCACGTGCTTGCCAACCAAGAGAATGAGCGGTGTTTGGAGGTAGCCCGACGTGGTAACGCTAGCTGCGCAAGTGACATGCATGATACGCTCTCTTCATGACCTATTTTGGTATTCGAGTGTAGTCAGTGCGCGAGAGTCCCTGTTACACGACCTTTAGTTTTGTCTACGATATAAGAGAATATTCTCTTATAGTGAGATACTGTTTAAGATAATTCTCCCTTATACCGTAGCCAACACGATATAACAGAAAGCCGGATTTAAGAGAGTGAAATTGGCTTGTACCGACCCTCTCTTAAACCGTAGCCGCTACTGTAATGGAACAGGGGCACTGTTGGTGAGGTCTCCTGCGAGCGGTGGACGAACCTTGGTAATTATTTACCAAAGAAGTCTAGATGCTGGGCGATCGTATTGCTCCTAGACGCATCTTCCGAGCACCAAATCGGGCAAAGGATGTTTCTGCTTCCAAGACGGTCAGGACGAAGTCGACTATCACCAAAGGAACGAACGAATGCAGTAATTTCGTGCGCATTCGTAATACGATGGGCTGACCCTGTGACTGCCACAGCTCAATTCAGGTTTTCAGTTCCTGCCAGGCCAAGGTAGCCAGCTCCCCCGCCTCACGACGATATCTAGCTCTCTAACCGCGATGCCGACTTGTACTTTGCTGCCACGTTGACCAACAGATCGATAGAAATGGTACAGGGCATCATGAGGAGATGCAACGACAAGTCAGTTTCTCTGATTCCGTATTACGACCTCCACGGAAGCAATTTTTGGTTCTCGCGACAAAAGTACTGACCTTCAACACAGGAGTCTATGCTACCCCGCGTGACGCCCTAAACGCCCTTTGATCTTCGCAAACACCCCCAGTGATTTCCCTTGCTTGCGATTATTCCCACGGCCGACGGGCTTGTCGCTACCAGCCTCACTTCTGCTTCCTGTGTCAAGGAGTGATGGATCGCCCTCCAGGGCATCTTTCGCTCGTGGCATGGCCACCGAGGCCTTGCTACTCATGAGACCTTGTACATCGCTAGCATCGGGACCACCAGCGTCCAGAGAAGACGAGGAGGATATCTTTACGCCAGTTGTTCGGCAGCCGCTCCCGCCTTCCTCCGCCACCGTTGAAACGGAGCCAGATCGATTCCACGCGGATGCATGCTCGTGACACGTCCAAGATACCTATGCCATGCGTTGGTTATAGGAAATCACTAGTTTTGCTTCCAAGCGCACACCAAATGAGTTGAAAGAGCAAGCCAGTCGAGACGCTCCGATCATTGTGATGCCTGTTCAACGGGATAGATCGCTACCTTACCTTGTGGCATTGGACAAGCTTTGAGTTCAAGGACGTGCGAATGTTCGATAGGAAGACGTATGTGCGTCCACACACCGTCACCGCCATCGCTAAGGATACTCCGTCAAACGCTTGCCTTTCCATCCCCCCTGATCGCCTTGGTCATATCCGCCGCCAACGTTGCCCTCCATGATGGATCATTTTCGTCCAGAAAGGACACCAGGGCCTCGTACGCTTCCCCTGAGAAAACCGTTCGGAAATTGTTTGGGGCAAGGGATTGTAGTCACGAATGCATGGGAGACCGATGTAATCCGTGGTATTCGCTCCCCAGGAGACACGTCCAGTCGAAGCCGGACCATTTCCTCCACATCCAAAACTAAACCCACCGAGCGAGGTTTGTTTTCTGTCGCGAGTGCGCAGGGGACTGTCCTTTGTTTGAACCCAGCAAATGCCTGCCTCAAGCGATTCCCGAGATAGCATACTTGCCTCGTAGTTCACGAAATGGTTCCCGATCAGTCTGTTTTTCCGGGGGTCTCGAGAGAATATTGAGAGTACCAGGAAAGGAAAACTTGTGAGCATTCGACATCCACCTAGAAAAATGATGACGCATCCCTCGAGCATGCGGACTTTCGGAGTAAACAGGCTGGTCAGGACCAGCTGCGGTGTGCCATGAGGACAAAGTGCTGTTCTACAAAGGTAGGGATGGTATTGGAGGCAGGTGGAAGTTATTGTGGTGCCGTCGGCACTGGAGGAGTCATGAGGCGGCTAGCCGACAATGCGTGGTAACAAGCAGCCAGAGATGTGTTGCGTGGACCCGACAAGAGGAACCGCGCAGAAAAGTGAAATATTGTTGAATGTCGGAAGATCCTTCGGTATTTAGATTTTGTTGTGCCGGCTTGATTTATCATCTGTTCGGCAGTGCTTGCGCCAGATCGGATTAGGCCTGAGCTTGTCCCAGGTTGACCTACGTTTGGTTCCAATTTCGTCCTCCCTCAGATTCTCGAGGCATCATGGGGACCGGCCGTGATGACAAATATTCCATGCCCTGGCCCCAGTCTAGGATCATGAGGGGTGTTCGTCTGGTCGACGGTGCATCAGGCAGAGAGCTCTCTGGCACAGGAGGTGCTTAGTGCTTAGGGACATTGCCCGAGAGACACTGTACGAATACCTTCTAGCAGAACAAACATGATGTCGCCTTGTTCGTGCTCCAAGAAAGGATGTTCATTTCCCGGAACGAGAGACCCCACTAGAATATCGTCCAACGTCTGCCACCAAACGTGCCAGAGTAGCCTGGTGTTGTCATGTAGAGTCACATACGCACTAGAAGCTAGGGAGAGCCACGACTGTACTCTTCTTTATCGGCGTGGAGGGCGAGAACCGACTCTCTATTCTCTGGCGTACGACTTCGTTGTTCAGTGGTTTGTGTTTTACCAAGTACCACACCCAGCATTAACGGGGTATCACAGGGCGTCTGCCATTCGTACGTCAATGTCTACGACAGCTCACGCTGACTACTCCTCGCACCTGTTAGTATCCGCCCCTCCTCCTCGTCCGGCGTTTCCGACCTTTGTTCGGTCCGCAACGTCTGGTTCCTGCCACTGTCGTACTTGGCGTCGTCAGACTTGGAGCCCTTGACGTCTCCCAAGGCCTTGCCAGCGGCCGAACGTAGTGCTGCTGACACCTTGGGAGTTTTGCCGAGGTGGGATGGCATCTCTTCAAGATATCGAAATTGCAAGCCTTTTATCAGGCATGACACGGTGAACCCGGAGAAGCAACTAATATGTTCTCTTCAGCTGGAAAGGGGGGGGCAGCGTCCACGGGGCGTCCGCCATGGTTGCTCAGGCGAGGCCGCGGTGGGCATGAGAGCACGAGTATGCCTACGAACAGAAACGGAATGAATGAATTCCTGTGAACGGGAAGGTTACGTGCGAGGGATTTGGAAGATATAGTACGTTGTACTTTGCCGCGTCGGAAGAAAATGCCTCGGCATTGGAATCTTTGGATGATACGTACCAACTAGGCAAGAATATCATGCTACACGATCCCCTTTGGCATTGAGAATCATTATACCTTCCGTCCAGCGAGAAAGTTGATCCCTAACGCGGCCGACATTCCATCCACGGCCGCAGGTGATACTCCTGCGGTCATGCATGCTGCCTTGGACCCCAGCTTCAAGACGAAAGCGCTTGCCTAAACGAACAAGCGAGCGGAGCGCGCGACTCGTCACTGTGAACGTCTGGTGGTACCTATTGCGTCCGCTCAAACAGGCTCGTTCGTAGAACTCGTTTCTTTATTTTACTCGTTGTTTATCGGAAGTTTGTTCGTGTCGTCAAGTCGTCACGACAAACAGTTGTCGGGCCAATGTCCGCCACCTTCTCCTCCACACTCTTCACGGCACCTTGGCACCTGAAAATGGTCCGGTATGTGTGTGCCTGTCGCAGGGAAGCTTGATCAACAGACACATAGCCCTCCCCTTTCATGAACACAGCAGATGTTGCACCAGAAATGGTAGGTGTGTAATTTTGCGTCAACAGAGGAAACATGTGTACCAAACAAGAAAAGCCTACTTTCGAGGATGAGTCTGAATCTGATTGTTTCGGCCCCATGCTCCCTCGTCAAAAGCTTGCCCACGCTGAGTGGAACTCTAAGTTACTTGATTCGGCCCCCATTCTCCCTTTAGAAATCTTACTCTATGTCATTCGTACCCGCTTTCAGGGGTGCGGCCCTAGCCTGATCCAAGGGAAAACATCAAAGTGTATCAACCCTGACAGTCTTCAGTCTTCTATTTTAGCCTATGGCCTTCGGTTGGCCAACCCGCTTCACCTGTGGCATCGAGCCCACCTCCACAGTGGTTACAGAACCCTCACTAGACAACATTGTCTCGCCAGATCAAGCCAACGCTACGTAAAATGTCTGGCGAAAACCTCGTGCGATATTTATGTACTAGGGGAAAACCACCCGCCCGAGTCCACTCCAGGGGGGTCATTTCACAGGCAACGAGGTCCTGGGTTTCCCTCGCAAGTCATTTCTCTGCAAAACCTGGAAAGTTTCGCCCGGCTGAAGTTTGACCGACTTCTGTAGGAAAACGCGGCTGAATTGACAGTCACATCCCATCACCAACATGGCATACCACTGACCAATAACGCTTGCTTCTACATGGAAAGCAACTTGAATTCAAGGAGTCTTTTAAAGCACAGGAGTCCACGGAGACCCATCGGCCCTTCTCTCTATACCAGAGAGGGCGATCGAAAAATATTTTGTACGTATCTCCAATGCGAAAACGAGTTATTTCTGCGGCGAGGGTGGGTGCGAAGCTCAAGGAATGAGGGCGTAAGTGGACGGCGCCTCAAGGCAAACTGACGAAAATTCTCCGATGGTTATGGATATTCAACGGCTGCCACACGTTTCCAATATGACAAAAATGGTTATATTGCGTAGGAAGAAAAGATCTACCTTCACCACGATTGTTGCGCCTATCTCAACTCCTCGGCAGCGAGCTTGACCTCGACTCTGACCTGAATGGCTGGTGCCCATTTTTCGAGGTTGCTCCTAGGGCATGGGACTTTGATACCCTTGCCGATCGGCGCTAGGTCGTGCGCGCACAGGAAGGTGAGCAAATTGTAGTCCGAGAACCACGTATCTGGCTTCCATATCTGTGTTTGTGGGCATGAAAAAATGGGCGAAACCACCACTAGTTACCTGCGTGCGAACCTTGAATACGACTACTAAGAAGTCTTGACAGTCACCATTGTTTTACCTCAACATGAGCCAGGTTCACAAGGGGATTGGTTTTACTTGCACATGATTGTTTGGGTGTAGGACGGCATTGGATGGGAAATTTCTTGGCTGTGTCTGCGGCTGCGTCTGTGCCGTTGTGTAGGTTACCTATCTGGGTGGAACAAGCAGATACGGAGGGGTGGGGTTCTGGCCGCGGACAATGGCAGAAACTAGCAAGTTTGAATCAAACCGACGGTAGCAACGTTGCTTCATAGTCACAACAGTCAAAGCAGCAGCAACGACAACAACCGACGTGACGGTCGGCAATCAGCATGTGCAGAGACGCTGAAATTTTCCCGCATCGGTACTCGGCGGGAGCTTTGGTTGCACCAACATCAGCCCAAGATGCAAATGAGCGTTCGGACCTCTAGAGATCCTTCGACAGGAGTCAAGACGAACAGGCGGGGGCAGTCTGCGTTCCCGTCCACCACGTGGTCGAGCATACGATCCATCCTCCCCAGCTTGCTCAAAATCTCGTCGGCCCTGAACTCGAGCCGTTTCATGCTTTCATCCAGTAGCGATCTGGCAGACGGCAATGTCGAAGGGGCATTGCGGTTAGGGACTAGCGCGGCACTCTCTGTGCAGTTTGAAAGAGACTGATATCGTCATCATCTACCTACAACACAAAACTGGCCCCTAAATGCCAACTGCTGAAAAAAACAGTATCGAGGAAGGCCTAACCTGAACCATCGGTATCTCACGGTGGAAGCAAGCTCCCCGCCAACGATAACGTGCCCATAGGATCGTTTGCAGCTCACCGCAAAGCTCGAGCCAGACATTTCGGGTCCATGGTCATGGGTGCGGGCATTCTGATTCAACGTCGTTACCAGTTCACGAACTCACTTCTACCAACCCGGAATTGAAGAGGCAGAATAGTCGAAACTGTATTCAAGCTTCCTGGTACTCAACGTGCAGCATAGAAAAGAAAGAGGGGGGAGTAGAAAAAAAACGCTTGCCGGTGGTAAACGCCAGCATAGTCGTGCTGCAGCGTAGTGTACATAGTTCGCTCGTAAAATGGCGAGTGCGTCTGCGGCTTTTGCCTCACGCACCTCTGGTGGCGATGTGACGGCAATGTCCCAAAGTAATATTCTCTTCTCACTGCAATTGTTCAATGTGATTGAGGGTCGCCTAAACATTACCGTACGTACCCGTCACGACCCCATTTAGGACATCGGTCCCCCGTACCCGCTTAAGACATCGGCTTCGTACGCGGTGCGAGCGAGAGTCCTAATGTTTCCCAGTAAACGTTTGGGAATGACAATGTTTCACAATCGAACGTCACGGGGTAGCAAGAGAGCCATGGGGTGTGGTACGAGTGTGTCGGTCGGTGCCGAGACTCGCCTAGTTGCGCCGCCTTCTTCTCGAATGGTGGCTTCGAGCCGCGAAGAAACGTCTCCGAGCGAGGCCGCCATATCTGCCTGCCGCAGCCAACGAACGCGTCCGGTAGGATGTTGTGGCTGTTGGAGTTGGTTGCTGTTGTGGCCCTACCGGCAAAAGGAATAGCTTCAGCCTTCGCACGAAGGCATTTTCGCAGGGAAACAGAATATCTTTATTGTCAAGTTGCAGCGGCGGCGGCGGCTGCGCATGTTTGTGTGAGTTGGGATCCCCCACGCACGTTTCGTCAAATATTTCGCGTTGCCTTCCTTCTGTATACCCCCGGCAGATCCGCCAACACACACTGAACTGAGAAAAGCCTGTGTTTGGAATGAATGGGATGCACCTGCACTTCGTGTGAGTTCACTCTATCAAGGCGGGGGTGCGCTACACTCGGCCTGGCCGTGTCAACCTCGGGTGTGAATACCACCAAGGGAAGACACTCAAAGCTCGTTCTAGCAAAGCCCCAATGTTTTGGGCGTCTTCTAGACCGGCGGGATTGCCCACTTTATCCTGGTGTACTATATCTTGCATGTAGAAATTCGACGCCATCAGGGCGAAAACAAGACCTTGGTCCCATTCCAAGAGTATGGATCAGCAAGGTTGCAGGCCCAACAATGGTTCCGGAGCATAAAAGATTCTTCCAGAGCGCGTACAGACACTCAATGATGGAGGTGCTGTCCATGCAAAGGTGATATATTTGTCCTACAGTTGTTGAGTGAGGCGAAAACGGGAGACAGATTTTCGACGAAACGTTGAGGTGTTTGCTATGAGGATGGATGAAACCATGGTCAACCAAATTTTCCTTCTTGAATCATTGATCGACTCTTGGAAACAATGGCTCGTATGCACTGGGCCGTACAGAAAGAAGTGCAGGTTTCGCGGGTTGCTGTCTACCTACCCGCGATGCGTCGAGAAATAGTATCGACGAGAATCGAACAGCGCAATATACACACCTGCATCTTTGCCGCGGTGACGCTCGCACCTCCGGCAAAGAACGCCCGACCAAGGACACTGTCCATGCTCCCCCGCCCTTGGGGTAAGTGGCTCAGCATTGTCCCCAACAAGTTTCTAGCCTGGAGCAAAGAAATATAGCAATAAAATACCCGATCAAACGCGGACAACAGGTGGTTGCACAAAGACCCTTTCTTGGCCTGCCAAATCGACACGTGTACTCCCTCTTCGGGTACGAACAAAGGCTGCACTGGATCCAAAGCAGGCACCCACGGGAGACTCTCATTTACTACCCTGTGACGTTTAGTCATTCAGCCGTGTTGACCTTGGCGTTTTGTGTCGTCAGCCCCAGGATGATGCCAGCTGTGGGTGTTTCTTTGTGCGTTTCGCACAGTTGGAAAATATCGGAAAAAAATCAACATGAGAAGATTAACTCTGCCGTGGATCAGGTGTCGTGGTAGTGCCATGTTGGGAAGGCCGGAATGGCTATCAAATCGACATGAATCGACCACTGTTTCGAACGTTCACCTGCTCTTGTTTTGGGTCGACGCCCGCCAACGACACAGTAAACCCCGATGAGCACAGGGCCATCACCACCTCCTTGTCCGTCAGACCGTTTTCAAAGTAGTCCTGTGCACCGTTGTTTGATTATTTAGTGCGTTGGGCATCAGGAATGTATCTTGGCGTAAGTCTGTTGGCTTGCCCGAAGATTCATAGAGCAGAGCAAACGAACAATACTTACATTTTTTTTACATTTGGTGAAAACAGGATGATGCCGTGAGGTTCATTCAGGTTTGACAACGCAAACCTGAAAGGTTGGTATGATGATACATCCATTGCATTGCAAAATATTGACTTCAATAAGTTCGCGTGTCGTACTCGACACTCTCGGTCGATAAACGCAAACAGGTGCAGAAACCGTCGTCTCAGGAGCGAAGGCCTAACCTTGCTAACGCTCCGCTCAACCGCCCGACCTATCAGACCCGTGGGATGAAAGGCCGCCAAGCTCAATTTAGTATTGATGACTCCCTCAACGTAGTGAGATTGTTTCCACTCCAGAACGAACTTCCAACCCCCCCCGCTCGTATACGGACCAAATAATGCTGGTGTTGGCGTTGAAAAGCTGCAGCAACAACTACAGGAAAAATGACATCCACGTTGTCCGGTCCCACCCCCGTGTCCTGGCCTCGAGGACCCCAAGAAGTCAATTGGACCAAGCACCTTATTCTTTCATCGGTTTCGACTCGACCACATGGCATACACACCTGCCCCGTCAGGAGCCAGAAGAGCACCATTCCTACGGACCAGATGTCGGTGGCCTTGGTGGCCAGACAGGACTCTCCCGACACCGACGCTCGCGCTCGCTCAGGCGCACAGTACCTGGAACGGTCGTTTCGGTAGGCGGTAGGGTCTCAATGCCAGGTATGTGCGGCCTCGCAAGGTGTTGTGGACGACGTCGATGCAGGATGGGTAGCAGTGGCGTCAATAGAGAAGACACGACGGAGCATTCGGCAAACAGAGGACGTTTACCACCGAAGTCCTCGCCCGCCCAAGGGCATCGTGCCGGACAGAACGTGTATAGCGGCAGGGGAAGACGAGGTGCCATGCCCAAGTGGTCAAGCGCGTACGAACTCCGCGCGAGATCATTTGATCATTGAGAAGAAAATACTACACGCCTAGGTGCAACCTCGATGAATGAGATGTTTCGTGGTTGGTCTTGGTTGCTTGCAACGCAACCAGCTATTGTTTATGGACCGAAGACGTGGGTGCCGAACATCACTCAAGCACGGCCGCACGGAGATCGTGCACCAAAAAGTGATCTGATTGTCACCGACGCGGTGCATCTAATTGAGGAGGATGCCCCTCAGTTTTCTTCTTCTCTTTTTACAACCAAGAATTACCAACCTTCCGGGCAATTTGTGTTGTCGGCGTGGGCTCGAACAGAGTCTTTCTGAATATCCTCTGAAGACTGTTGCGAACTCTCAACGGCGTTCGTGGCACACGGAGTGCCGTTAAAGTTACGTATTGTGCTTATGAGATGTGGTGGCTCTCTCAAATGTTTTGATTTGTCAATCACGAACGAAGGTCTTTAACACACCTGGGTGTGAGAACATGATCCGCACCGAAGCGACTGTGAACCCGTCCTGCGACGTCCTTGTCCAGGGAGGCCATGCCACCGGAGAGGCTGCACGCCGAGTCGAAGTCGATTGCCTTTAGATCGTCGTCCTGAGAAAGCGCCCGCCGAACAAGGGTCACAACCAAGGAAGACATTACGGTGGTACTTTTAAGCGGTTTGCCGGCGTATGGATACCCATCTATGGTCCTATTTTTTGCTTAGCGTGAAGGGACTGTCGTATTGGTCGTCGTGCACGACAGGTTGGTTTACTGGGGCATGGGACGTAGCACACGCTTGCGTTTCGATGAGGAAAACGCGTGCGAACGAAAACGTGCCGCTCTAAACAGTCGAGTCTAAGATTATTCATCGGTGATTTGAAGCAGACGGCAGTACATACTAGGAATGTGCTGACGACATTTCGATAGTTGTTGTACTACAGTATCGAGTGCGTCTCTCCTCTCCGGTGGGCGATACGCCAAATTTATATTGATTTGTTGGGAGAAACATTGTCCGAAACCCTGCTATTCGGCATACAGCGTGAAATGGAACCCTCCACCGATATCTGGTGTACCCTGTGTGTTTCCTTCGTCGATACAAACAGAACAAAGTAAATAGCCTGAGGGTCAGCTTTGAGGCATCCGCTTCCCGAGCTTAGAGTTGGAAAAGGATCGTTCGTCTCGCATTCCCTCGATCTGCAATCACTACTTACGTCTCCATACGAGTTTAATATTTTCCCATTCACTGAATCGCCCCTTTCCCGCACACAACGGCAGTGCTAGCAACCACAGACCACTATTCCCACCACATCAACTGGGACGAATGCACCTATGCTCTTGGCAGCGTCGTGCTCCCACAGCACTGTTTCGCCTTTCCTACACTCGCTACGCTATCGATAGCGAGGGGTGGACCTGATGGGATGAAACAAGTCCGTGGGGGGTAGCGTTTTGTAGTAGGGTGTGACGGCTATTTCCAATCTGGTAATGCCGTTGGATTCAAAACTTGAAACCCAATATCGCGAAGCATATCTTTCACATGGAATGTGAGCCGACTAGCCGACCAACAATCTCCCAGGCGAGATATGCTACATTCGTTCGCAGTCCACATACGTTTTTGAACGATGGCCTACCAAAACTGATTAGGGAACACACGGATCTACAAGAAGAGATCGACCCGTTTCGAGATCGGTAGCTTTCCCTTTGATTGCTGAAGACATCAAGATCGACCTGTAAGCCGACGTTGGCAAGAGTTGAATGTTTTTTTTTATTCTGAAACAGTCTGCACAACTGCCAACCGTTTTCCCGTTCACTGACAGAAGAGGGTTATGCGTGCAATCCCTCTCTGCGCGTTGAAAGAAGTAGGCTAACAGCACCACACTTTGGACGTAATTACCTGCCCTTCCACGAAGTTTTCGGGCTTCACGTCTCCCCAAACAATGCCCAGTCGGTGGAGCCACTGGCAGACCTCCACCACCTCGTCGGGAATGACCAGCAAACAGTGAAGCCGGCATCTCAGACAAGCGGCTGAGAGTGGTGGGGGGGAAGCAGTATACAGCTCGATGTAACGATACAACCGCAAGAGTGGAAAGTCTCTTGTCTACATTGGGTGGAGGTAACACAGCGCAAAAGTGTGTCTGGATGACAACACCTGGTAGTCCAATAGCGAGGACGTAGTGAAAAATCGGGTCGGACCGATTAATTGCGGCTTACCTGTCGTGCATATGGTCGGATCCTATCCGTGTATCCAGCAGGGTTCCCGGAGTACCTGCGGTAGAACTTCTGACCGATCTGCAAAGAAGATGCGCGTGACGTTCAGGGAACGCGTTGACACTGGCTCAGCACTGCTTCCATTCAGCCACCTCAGTTTCACGGTTCCGCTGCCCAAGGTTTCGTGCCTAAGAGTTCGAATGGGTTTCGTGCGTTGCCATGGTCACTCCGTAGATGCGCTTACGAACGGCTTTCGTTGTAGCCAAGGAATTTGGTGATGAATCAACATCGAAAACATTCTCAATAGCGGCAATGGTACGACGAAGCCAGTTCCAGCGTCTGCGCCAGCACTAACATCAGCAAGTTGACCATAGCAGGATTAAGAAACACAGCTCTCCGAAACCCTTTTCTGTCGGTCGCTGGAGATTTTTCGAGCATCCATATACGTCGCCGTTTCCATATATATCTTTCATAGGATGCTTAATCCCTATGCTGTTCAGCAGGCTCAGGGATACGGAACAATGGAAGCAAAATCAATTTTGCCGTGCATTCATCCATTGTACGCCCACACAGATGAGTCGGCTTCAAACCTGTCTGAGAGTTCTGCCACCCCGGCCTAGGACGAGACATTGCAGCCTGGGAATAACGCCGACGAACGGGATGCTATGCTGGCATCCCCCCTGTACGCCCTGCCGCTGCAAGAACTGGGACACCCGGGTCCAACGCGTTTTCGGATGGGGACGGTCAAAGGGTGGTGTTGCGGTGTGGGTGGGTTTTTCTCGACGAAACGCCGAATGTTCGGTCAATACGCGCTCGCACGCACAGACAGCAACAAAGGTCGTCCTATTCTTGCCGTCTGTGAATTGATTTTTGTCTGGAGGGGGTGGACAGATTGTATTGGTTGAAACCGTCAGGTGAACTGATTGGCAGGGTCCAAACAGAGGCGACCGTCCAACGGCATTCTCGGACGAGAGAGGCATGTTCTGTTCGTGTGCATGCAGACTGAAGATTTGTTCTTGCGGTTGTTTTGTTTCAGGAATCTCCACATGATACCAGGACATTCGCCGACATTGGTATTATCAATGACACCCAGTAAACATTAAACAGCAGGAAGACATCAACCGTTGATGCTGTAGAGATGGACAAACGTAGGACCAATGCAGACCGCACGAAAGATGAGCAAATTTCGTCAGACCCAACAGGCGGTCCTCACCAATAGAACGGCCCTCTCTCGCTCGAAGGTGGCGTGCTCGCCTTCCAGAACCTTCTTAACAACAACTTGCTCGCCTGTAAAAACCTTGCTGGCGAACCATATCTCGCTTGACCCACTGGAGCACGGCAGTGCCTACATGGCACGTTTGAAATCAATGTTGCCTATAGTCGTTGTCGTGTTTGGGTCAATTGCAAGCGGTTCGAAATAAAGCTGACGACAACACATTACAATTTATTAGATGCAGATCCTGAACCTCAGGCTGAAGCCCCAAGCGAGAAAAACGACAACTGTTGTGATGACATCATCGCAAAGTGCGGGGAGAAGCTTCATACCACCACTCCTCTGCAGCACTATATTTATGATGCTATGGAGGCATCTATCCTTTACACTGCCATATTTCCGTGCAACCGAAGACACTGTAGTGCAGCGGCAACCTCCTTTGTGAAAGCCCACCACAGCAATCATGACAACCAAGGTCCGCAGGAAGCAAGCACCCCACCTTTTCTAGTTCGTACTCTCCCTCCAAAACCGCGCGGGTTGCGAATTCTACCGCGGTAGATGTCGCCGCCGGCGCTCTCGCGGCTCCGCCCTTCCCACCCTCGGTTGCCGGCGCGGTTGCCACCGACGCCGCGTCGTGGGCGCTTGCTGCTTGATTATGAGAGTGAACGTTGACCGATGAAGCAGGTTGTTCTAGCTCTGCTGGACCCTGTGCTGCACCGGCGTCCGACTCAACAGAAGCTGTGTCTGTACCCGTAGCCGCGGCCGTCGCCAATGGTTGTGGGGGAGGGGTTGGAGGAAGCGTTGGCGGTGCCGACAGCTCGCGCAGTAATGGCGCCGGCGGTGGCGGCGATTGAAGCGGTGACGTCAATTTTTTCGTTTCGTTGACTTCCTCTCCGGTAATAGTGACTCCGGCGGCGTCAGACGAGAGTTGCTTCGGTGGTGGCGGTGGTGGCAAGGATGATGCTGCAGTGGCGGTCGGCGCAGCAGGGGTGATACGATCGCCAGCATCGGCGGCAGGAACAGTGGCGATAGCAGCACCCACATTGGCAGCAACGCTGCTATCTCCGTTCCCGCCTCCCTCGTGTAGACCGCTGTGTGAACCGGCTGCGCTTGCTGCGAGGGCGAGCTGCTTCGCGGCAGCTGCTTGTGCTAGGATGGCCCTCACGGCACCTTCTTGGACTGGATACTTTCCACGGCGACCTGTTGTTGTTCCAAGGCGATGATACACTTGAACCGGCAGACATTTATCTGATTACAGAAGAAGTTCGTGGAGGCAGCCAGGAAATTTCGGACGACTGAACGCGTACATTGTCGCCAGCTTGGCGATGGGTTCTCCGCGTACAGGTGCGTGTTTTACTTGCTTCGTCTCGGGCGGCGAGCCTTTGTCCAACCAGGTGGATGGTGTCTGCGATAGAAACACTTGCAGTCTACAGCAACAGTGGAGCACCGTGGCAAAGACGCAGGAATCCGATGTTTGGTGGGGAGTCTTTCTCCATCGGTACACTATTTCGTTGGTACCCTTGAGAAGTTCTACAACCTCGTCCTAGCGTACGTACGGCACAAAGAATAAAAAGGAAATGGCAGCAGGCTTGCAGCAACACGACCCTGTGAAAACAACGTGCACCAATACCGGTGCATCAAGAAACGAAAAAAACGGGCAAGGATCAAAGCGAGGCTGTGGATTAACGAGGCAAAGGCTTGCCTACGATTTGTTCTGGAGTCCTCTTCTTCCTGTCCCGGGCGTTTGTGTCGGCCCCCCAACGTAGCAACAACGACACCATTTCGGGGTTGGGCTTGAGGCAGGCGACGTGGAGCGGGGTGAGACCGTTCAAGTTCTTCGCTCCCACCTCCGCACTAGATGATCGACCATGTTCAATAATCGAGAAGCGAGGTGGTTCCGAGTGAGCTGAATTCACAACACATCACGTAGTCAGTCAGAAACGTGCGTAACATCAAGACAACGCACAAACAGACTCAACCAAGTCCTCCACATCGATTTGCGAAAAATTACGTGTTGCTTTCTGCTCTTTAGTCCGAACTGCACAAGTTCTTGTGAACACAAGGGCACTATTGCATCCCGCCTTCCCTTCATTTGCTTCTCACCCTCCTTCCAGAAGAACACGTGCCGCTTCCAGATGTTCACCAACAACTGCCAGAAGAAGGGGAGAAGCGTCGTGAGTCGCCCCTCCTTTCCTCCCATCACGGCACACCTTCAGGTCTGTGTCGGCCCCCGCGGCGACAAGCACACGGATAACTTCCGACTGCCCCTGTACGGCAGCACTGCACAGTACAGTGTATGACGAGGGAACGGGATGCATCGGATCCATGGGAATGAGATGAAGTGGGGGTGTACGGGGGTGGGTACGTGCGGCTGTCGATGTGGGGAAACAGAACTCCTCACACTGACTCTGTTTTCCTGGTGATCGACAAAGTAGGTCTAGTTGTTGTATTCCCGTCCGATTTTGGCGACTATTCTGACTATCCATTTTGACTTTATGTGCGCTCCAGTTGGAATGGACCGAGGTTCTGATCTACGTACAGTAGTTAGCGGCATGGGATGCACAAAAACAACGTCAGACGTACATTCACATTATCAATGCGTGTAAATTTCATTTCATGTCTGTCTGTCTCTGCCTCTCTCTCTCTCTCTCTCTCTCTCTCTCTCTCTCTCTCTCTCTC